CTCCAACCCCCTCCCTCACCCCCTTCCCCTCCTCACCCCTCTCCAACCCCCTCCCTCCCCCAGGATAAGATCACCCAGCCCCCTCCCCCCTCCCCCTCCCCCCCGCAAGGTCCGCCTCGACCGCCGAAAGAAGTCCTTGTTCGAAAACGTTTGATAAATCCTGCTACGGCTCCTCAAGCAGCGCCACCGACGTCCGAGTACGATTATGCTTGCCCTTGTGAATCCTGTGGCTGGCCGGTGCTTGGGCGGGCGCTTGCGGTGGGTGGGTTGTTTGTTTGTTTGTGTTGTTTGTTAGTATTGTTTGTCTATGTTTATTTATTTGTTTGTTGGTATGTGTTCGTTTGTTAGCTTGCTTTTTTGTTTGCTTGTCCGTTCGTTTGTTGGCTGGTTTGTTTGTGTTTATTGTCTGTTTGCTTGCTTGCTTATTTGTGTGTTCGTTTGCTCACTTGTTTGTTTGCTTGAGGAGTCTATATTGATGTTTGTTCTTTTCGGGAAGGAGAGGGGGTGTTATTTGTTCTGTTTGTTTGTTTTTCATGCATTTACTTATTTGTTTGAAATGTTCAAAATTATCTTTTTATCATGTCTTATTGTTGCTTCTATCAAATTCCCGGAAAACCGAGGCATCGCATTCATCTGTTTTCCTATTGTTGTTGTTCTCTTTCTCCTCCTCCTTTTACTTGCTCTTCTTGTATTTTATCATCTTCTTTTTCTTATTCATCGTCTTCTTTCTATCCCTCCTTGTTTTTGTTTCTTTTTCGTTTGTCTCGCGATTTTCTTTATCAATTTCTGTTTTTTTTTTCTCTCTCTCTTTCTTTCTTTCTTGCAAATTTCACTTTATCACTCTTTATCCCATCTTTTTTTTCCTTCTATGTATATTCCTTTTCTTTTTTCTCCCTCTTCTTATATCTATTCATTTCGTCTGTTTGAATCTACTTAAGAAAGAACAAACAAAATGAACAAAGAAAACACTGGACAGTGAATAGACCATGAACAAAAACCTAACACTTTGAACAAAACCGGATATCCTGAACGAAATACGAACGAGCAGAACAACAACCGAAGAACATTTCCCGAACACTGAACAAAAACATCCGGAACAAAAAAATAATAATAATAATAAATAATAAGCACTCTGAACAAAGGAATACCCTGAACAACACACTACCTGCACAACCCATCACCCTGAACAACCCACCACCTTGAACCCACCACTTTGAACAACCGCCACCTTGAACAACTCACCACCCCGAACAACCCACCGCCCTAAAAAAAAACATCATCCTGAACAATAACCCACCACCCTGAACAATAACCCACCACCCTAAACAACCCACCACCCTGAACAATAACCCACCATCCTGAACAACCCACCACCCTGAACAACCCACCACCCCGAACAATAACCCACCACCCTAAACCCACCACCCTGAACAATAACCCACCACCCTGAACAATAACCCACCACCCTGAACAATAACCCACCACCTAACACCACCCTGAACAATAACCCACCACCCTGAACAATAACCCACCACCCTGAACAATAACTCACCACCCTGAACAATAACCCACCACCCTAAACAACCCACCACCCTAAACAATAACCCACCATCCTGAACAATAACCCACCACCCTGAACAATAACCCACCACCCTGAACAATAACCCACCACCCTGAACAATAACTCACCACCCTGAACAATAACTCACCACCCTGAACAATAACCCACCACCCTAAACAACCCACCACCCTAAACAATAACCCACCACCCTGAACAATAACCCACCACCCTGAACAATAACCCACCACCCTGAACAATAACCCACCACCCTAAACAACCCACCACCCTAAACAACCCACCACCCTGAACAATAACCCACCACCCTGAACAATAACCCACCACCCTGAACAATAACTCACCACCCTGAACAATAACCCACCACCCTAAACAACCCACCACCCTGAACAACCCACCACCCTAAACCCACCACCCTGAACAATAACCCACCACCCTGAACAAAAGCTAAAATCACAACTCTAACTGACCAACCAACCGCCTCACGGGATGAAAGCCAAGTGCCCTTCTCTCCACGCAAGATTTATGACGTCATTAGCGTGTCAGGAGTGTGGTCAGTGTTTTCCTTTATATCTCATGCACTGTTTGGATTTGCTTGGGGTTTGAAAATGATGTTTAGTGTTTTCGTTATTTGAGTGTTGGTGATTCGGTATTAGATTTTTTTTATTGGTGTTGTTATTGGTATTATTATTGTTACTTTTGTTACTGGCATCATCACTGTCATTAGCAATATTATGATTGTTGTTGTTGTCATTATCATCGTTGTTTTTATTATTTTTTGTAATATTACTATCATTATTATTGTTATTATCATTAGTTTTATTATTATTACTAATGTCACTATAATTTTTGTTAACATTATCTTATTATTATCATTATTACTAATGTCACTATAATTTTTATTACTATTATCATTACTATCATCATTATTACTATTATTTTCACTCGCACTATCATTATTAGTATTATGATCATTATTGTTACAATTATCGTTATTTCTTCGTTACTTTTACCATCATTGTTACTGCTATGCTATTGTTGGTATCATTACTGTTATCCAGCTTAGTCTTAGCAGTAGTATCATAATATTCGCCTTAAATATTATTACTATCATTATTATTATCATTACCATTATTATCATTATCATTACCATAATTATTATTACTGTTATTACTATCATTATTATTATCATTACCATTATTATCATTATCATTACCATAATTATTATTACTGTTATTACTATTATCATTACTATTATCATTATCATTGTTATCATTATCATTACTATCATCATTATCAGTATTATTTTCGTTATCATTATCATTATTACCATCATTATTATCATTGTACCATTAATATTATTATTAGAATTACTGTTCTTGCCATTATTGTTATCATTATTAGTGCCACTGAATATTATTATTTTCTTTTATTATTATTATTATTATTATTATTATTATTATTATCATCATCATCATCATCATCATCATCATCATCATCATCATCATCATCATCATCATCATCATCATCATCATCATCATCATCATTACTATCATCATTATTATTATAAATATTGCTACTGTTCTCAATATCATCATTCTTGTCATTAATATCATTATCATTACCGTTACTATTATCATTACAATTGCTATTGCTAATACAACTGTGATTGTGTGTTTTTTTCACCGTAACTGCACTGAAAAATGACACATGCTGTAAGATTTGTTTTAATATAATACCTTTTAAATAATATCTTAGTCTCCCTACTTTCCGTTTCTTTTCTCTTTTAATAAATGTAATGCGTTTGTTCATTTCGATTTCAACAAAATAAAATGTTCCACGCACCTGGGGTATAGATTGCATTCATGAGACCACAGAAGAAAAATGTGCCATATTTCGTCCATCCTTTCCATACAAGAATTCTAGAGATTCTTTTGCCACGTGTTTATTTTGCGTGTTTTGTCCCCGTTTTAGTTTAATTTTGAGTAAGATGTACTAGAAGTTATATGTTGGTTACGCAAGCGAGAGTTTACAACAGAACGTAAAATGGCATTTCGCATGCACTTGGCTTCGTCTTCATCATTTTGTATTGGTGGCAACTCAGTGGGTGTCGTCGTTCCTGATTTAGTGATTGGGAGCGGCGTGTGTATGTGTGTGTTGCTGTACTTCATGCAGAGATTTGCATGTAAGCTGTGTGTGCGTAGATGTATGTATATATGTATGAATGAATGAGAGAGAGAGAGTGAGAGATAGAGAGAGGGAGGGAAAGAGAAAGGCGTACAGACAGAGAAACACAAACAAATAAACAGGTTCTGATACAGTCAAAAGGACAGACAGACAAACGAAGGAAAAAACAGAGACAGATAAACAAACAAAGAGGGACAAACACAGACAGAACGAAAAGTGACAAATAAAAAAAGCAAACGGGAACATAACTGAGCCAGACAAACAAACATATAAACAGACACAGAGAAACGGAAAATGAAAAAGGGAAAGAAATAGAGATATAAATTAATTAAATAAAGAA